GATATTCCATATCATGCGACATCATGCTCAGTATATAGATGAGGGCTGTCTGGGAAGCTCGCTTGCTCTCTTTCTTCCAGGATTACAGCTTTGGGATTTCTCTCCTCTGGAATCATTAGCTGGGAACAGGCTGGGCATTGGTCAGCAGGTGGTGGGTATTTGCACTGTGTTCCACTCATTTGTATATTCTATTATTACCATTATTGTCATTATTATTTTAAATTTTATTATATTTTATTTTTATTTTATTTCAACTATTAAATTGTTCTTATCTCAACCCATGAGTCTCCTTACCTTTACCCTTTCAATTCTCTACCCCACTCCCTGGGGTGAGGGAGGGTGAGCAAGAGGCTGTGTGGTGTTCGGCTGCCAGCCAAACACGACATCCTTGTACATTATTCTGGCAAAAGAATGGCTGTTAAATTGAGTTCATTTTTTTTCATGTTTGACAGTGACACAACTAAGAGAAAAAAAGGGGATAGTTTTCTCATCCTGTAGTTTATCTACGTTCACAGTGAGGCCAGTTAAACTGGTTAATGTTTTCTGCTGAGCTCCTTGCAGTTTCATGAGGGAGAAATGGTCCATTCAGATCAGCAGCAAGAAAAGAATGCAACATATTTGACGCAGAATTTTCAGTGTTATTTCAGCTAAGCCTGAGGGTAGTCATCCACACAGCATGTCGCTCAGCAGTTGAACAAAAGGTACTGAAAAATACTGAAAATAAGCATTGAAAGTGATTATTTTTAAATGTGCAGCACAAAATCATGTTGCTATGGGTAATGCAATCCTTGTTGCAACTTCTGTTTCAACTTCTGTGACTGTCCAAGTTTAGACCCTTCTTTTCCCTTCTCTATCTCTTTCTGCAGAGATTCTGACCACCACTGAAATCACCTTAGAAAAGATAACCAAATATCAGTCCCTTAATTCTTCTGAGGGATAAGGCTGACCCGTACAACAAGCAAGCCACTTCAAGCCATGGGATGGAGGAAGAAAAACAGCTCCAACAAAAGTCTCAAGCCCTGGAATGCAGACAACTCTCAATTATTTGCAGATGGAGGATTATCTAAGCTCCCACCTGGGGGGGAGGAAATATGTATATTCACACATATAAGATACTGCTAGTTTGCAAACACACAGACCATTCAAGAAACAGTGTGTTTCTTTCCAGGAGTATTTCTCGTCCTGATAAAAGTCCCTCCCTACAAACCCTGGTTTTAGGTCACCTTGGCTATAATAGCACTATTTAAAAAAACCCCAAAACAACAAACAAAAACCAAAACAAGCAAAGAACCCAAGGAAAACACCAACAAACCCCCCATGTACTTTTTTTACTTTATACTATACTTTTCCTCATTTTTCAGTGATAATTATATCATAGGAAGGCTTTAGAGCTTAATGTAACTATATCTGATCTTTTCAGAGGGATCACTAAGTTGTCACTGTGTTGAAGAAATGAGTCTTAACAAGCCAGTGGGACAAAGGCTTTCAATTAAGATGGAACTGGATTTCCTATTTATTTTTGTTAAACAAGTAGGAAACAGTATCTGATTGATTCCCTCTATGCATCCAAAATGTCAGCATAACAATGTCATATAGAAAACAACAGCTGGAATATTGTGCTTGGGTTCTTGAAAACCTGCACAGAACACTGTTCACAACGTGTCCCCCACTGGCATCTTATTCACACAGAACACGTCTCTCTTGTAGCCACAAACCAAAGGGTAAAAACAAAAAGTACATCTCAATCCCTACTCTCATTTCTGCTTTAGAAGAAAAAAAGCACCGCTGTCAAATTTGTGGACTCTGCAACTGTCTGCACAGAAACATTTTGTAAAATGGTTTTTGTGTGTCAGCATCCATGAGGGCAAAATGGAATGGGGCAGGCAGAAACAACAACTGAGAGGTAACAACTCCTCCCCACACCCCACAGGTTAACCCCATCACCACCACTCCCCTGCAGTAGGACAAAGTTCTTAAACGCTTTCTGAAGATGAAACATGGCAGGATCCATAAACCAGACATCGCATGCCTCCTTGTGGAGGTCTGAAGAACACACATCCTTTCATTTATTTCTGATGGTGTTTAACAAAACATACTCATCACAGATTTCCATCCACTTGGCTGAAACTAGCAAAACCCCTCAGCAGCTCCAAACAGCCCTATGGAAGGAAAGGAAAAACCCAGCTTGGCAGACAAATGTCTCTATTAATCTCTAAACGCACATGGAATTTCCCTCCAAATTTACACTGGCTGAAAGCCAAGATGACAATCTCGCATCTTCCAACAAAGTTAATCCTCTAATCGACAAAAAAAAAAAAAAAATTGAAATGTGTGTAGCAAAGGCTTGTACTCAGCACGTTACTGTGAAATTAGAGAATAAAAAAAATGAAAGGCAATTCTGGCGCACGATTCTTTCTCCCTTAAAAAACATTATCTCTGAATGATGGAAAAAAATAAAAGGTAAAAAAATGCTCTAAAATGTGACTATTCCTGAAAATAAATTTTTGTCTTTGATTCTCGCAGTGTGTATCTCTTTGTCCCATCCCCACTAAATGCCCAAACCTCTAGCACTGACCACACTGCATGGGTAGCTCTCACTCTTTCTAACTACCTTGAGAAACATTTCACGCACCAAGGAGGTTCCTCAGTTACTCTTACTAAAACTCACAGCCCCAACCCTCATACAGTCACCAGTACTGAGAACATCATCCTAGATTATTGCTTTTATTTAGCAGAAGAGATGTCACGTCAAATTAGGTGAGCTTTGCCATTTGCATACTTGATTCTAAGGACATGCTACTGCGATAATCCAACCTTGAAGCCACCAGGTCAGGGATGCACAGGACCACCAGCGCATCTGCTTAGACAGGTACACAGTAGATTATTAGTCTTCACTATTTGGGTATCCAGATTGAAGAAAGAATATCAGAGGACTGTAAAAAAAAAAGGCAACATCTGGATGATCTACGAACCAACTTCTAACAGCTGGTCACTGCATAATAGCAATTTCTTAAAAAAAAATAATAAAAAAAAAAAGTAAAAAAGCTTATTTTTCCTCAGGACACCTGAATCTAAGACTCAGAATCTAAGAAAGCTTTATGCCACCACAGCTGCACTTACTAGGAACTGCAGATATGAGAAATCCTAAATACATACACACAAGCTACTGAGGTGAGGGGAGCTAATGGAAAGATTTAACTCACAGATCCTGATGTGAAGAGTTGAGCCCAATTTAGATCACACTTACAGCAGAGGAAGGTCCCATTAACACAGGCAGTAGCTGTTCTCCCTCTGCTCCAGGGATTTCAATCTCTGTTTCGCGATACTTTCTTCTGTTACCCAATTTCTTTTAAAACACATTTTTGTGTGTATGAAAAGCACACATTTTAAAATGTCATTATATTTTATATGAGCAATGACCTCCCATACTCTGCTAAACCTCTGTGTAATAAAATTGATATTAAAAACATCCACTTAGGTACAAGCAAAGCTTATAGAGGAAAGGCTTTATTTGCACTGAATTACATAGTGACATTATTTTAATTTCCATTTCTTACCAACTTGATACTTGGCACTGAAAACTGCCTAAAGAATTTGATACACAAGTGAAAAAGTTTCAGAATATGTCCAAAATCTACTTTATGAACCATGTCTGCTACCACGATGGCTTGGTTTCTGTGTGGAATTTCTTCGTAGCCACACTGGAGTTTGCGATCTGCACAAGAGATCTCTATGAAATCCTCCAAGAAAACAGTGCCATCTTTGAAGCACAAATTCAGATCTTCTACATCCTAACGTGATTTTTTAGTGACAAAAAATAAATCACACCTCAGAGGCTCCACAAGCAAAAACACTTATTCTGTGAAGAGTGACCAAGCAATATAAGCATGCCCAGCACTCATATTCAAGCTTCAATCTTCCTCTTTGTGCTCCCCAATAAAAATAAATTTAATTCCACATCCCTAGCAAGTCTGCAGCCACAGATGGCATTTACCATACTCCAATCCAATCTAAGCCTTGCAGATTTCACTTCTGAAACATACAATTCTCCCTTAAAAGTATGGGTTCCCTTTGGCATGTCTGTCATGTAAAAGCAACTTTAATACAAGGTAAGGGGTGTCATTTTGTTGGTTTTAATTCAAGAAATGTTGCTTCCTGCTGCATAAAAAGATGACAAATTACTTGGAAGCAGGGAATGAGACTGTGCTGGATTCTAGATGGAAAAAATGTCTCAGATATGAAGAGAGCTGAAAAGCAGAAAAACTGCTAGAATATATCAACCAGTGTAAGTTATCAGAGGCAGCTGTCAAATAAAAGTGAAGGGACAAGGATGAGATAAAGTCAGAAGTTCATTTATTTATACATCATTATTCCAGACATTCAATAATATTGCTTTGGAGAAAGCCTTATTACCTTAATGTAGACAAAGTAAGGATAATTTGAGATGGTTTTTTCCATCCAGTGAGACTCATGCAACTACTTTAACATGAATATTAGCCTTAAAAATTGTGCATCACATCAGCGGCTGTTTCCTCCTTCAATTCCAGACCTTTTTAGCTATAACGGGCCAATGGAAGAATTTTTCAAAGTGCTAGTGTTGTGACACTTAAGATGTATCCTGCAGCTGATTGATATTCAGACTGATTCCTTTGTGAAAACAGGATTCTTTTAAATGAAAAAAACAAAACATTAATCTTTTAATTAATACCAAGCTAAAATTAAGATATGGAAGATGTCTATTCCCTTCACAGCTGATCCTGGCTTTCACTTCACAGATACAGGCCTGAGCACATAAACCTTGAACCACGCACTAATTCCTCTCTCCTCCCATTCTGCATCCACCAGATATACTGCCACTGCATCTGCTATATCCCTACAACACATTTGCCCTCAGCTTCTGAAAGGACCTTTAGTCTCTTTTTGCCTCCACAGAAATGATTTGGCACTACTGCATCAGGAGGACTCATTTCAGAGTACATCCATGCAGCTCTCCAGCTGAAAATGCTCAGAGTCTCAGGCCAGATGGCTTGTACTCCGTGAGCCTTTCCGCAGGCACCTCGCTCGGACACAGCATGGAAAATCCTGCAGCTCGGAATCAATCAGCTTCGTATCAGCATTCACTAAAGCGTGAACAGGACAAGCAGGTGAAAATGTTTCCATTGGTCCATATTATATTTGATACTACATCCTAAATTTAAACATTTTGATTTTTATTTTTTTATTTGCCAGTTAATTTTAGCACATTCTTTACCATGGCCCCAATGCCATCAAAGATCTTATGTAATTCTGTCTCGCACATAAATGCTGGGGTAGTCACCACTTTGTTTTTTGTATCCACGTGAGCTTCGTGAAAGGGAGTTAAGGAAAACACAGCCTATGTCTCACTTGCAGATGCTGTCTACAAAATGAACCATCACTGACAAAATCTCACAACCCCACTATTAAAAAACACCTCCCAATATATTATACCATCCAGCTGTAAAGAGCTACAACCTAGAATCTAAAATACTAGAATCTATTTTTGCCAGAAATACTCAACACTGCAAGAGCAATCTGTAGGAACGCTGGCACTCAGAAAGACAATAAAACCAAAGAAACTTAACTGACTGTAATAAAATGTCCCTGAGTAGAGTTTGATTACAGCATTAGCCTTCAGGAAAAGAAAAAAGATCTCAAAGAGAACTGACCAGATGTAACTTGTGCCAGTTTTATGTGCAAATTCACTCAGCATTTACTGCTTTACCGGATGTCCAAGGAGTTTTATGGCAACAACTGAGAATGACTTCCAACCACACAGCTGTGTACAGAAGACAGTGTTTTCTCATCATGCACTGTATTACAGGCTAGCTGCTACACACTGTATATTCCCACTCAACTGTAAGTGGAAAAGCAGAGACCCTGCACTTATTCCTTACTGAAATGACACACTACTAAACTGTCTCTCAACATGAAAACCCACAGGAAAGGATATAGTTACTTCTTTCACACAATGCTTTCCTCCCAGTTCTTTAATGGCTCCTGCAGTCCCTGCATAAGGCCACTTGCCACCTTCTTCTTCTTCATGGCCCACAGTTACTTCAGCACCAGAGAGAACCTTTGCTGCCAACACTGGTGAAATGCAGCAAAGACTGCAACAAAAGGAATTACAAGAGTGATTCTATTCTTTCAAAACTTGGCCATCGTTGAAAAGATTCAAATGGACATGGTCTTAAAAAATCTGAAAGACATCACCAGGCAACTTCCATTCAGCATTTTCTTTGCCTCTTCTTTGACAAAGACCCACACACACGTGCAACTTGAAAAACACATTTTTAAAAAAGTTACAACTGATACAAAACAGAAGATGCTTTCTCTAGTTCCAACAATAACAGCTGCACATTTCCACAAAACATACTTTGTCTCCATGCTCACGCTATCAAACAAACACCCCTCCAACTAACATACGTACCCAATAGGTTTGCCTGCTTTGTGGAAGTCTTTCAAGACACGTTCAACTTCTCTGTTCACCTTGCAATCTTTCCCATCAACAGCAAAGGTAGATCTGCCACAAGAAGAAACTTTATACACACCTCAGTATAAACCTACAAAAAGAGATGCCTATCTGCCCTCAGATTGGCTCTCAAGGGTCATCACAAACTTAATAGCTTCTAAAAGGTGAGTGAAAACACCTGTAGTTGACCATCAATGCTTTAGCCAAAATGACTCACTTCTAAGGCTCTGGTATGTCAGAAAGTCCCTTACTTGATGTAAACACCTAGAAATAAGAATTATCAAATCAGCTTTCTAGGGTTATTAAGAAGTGGAACAATAATGTTTTCAAAGAAGAAAAATATGTAAGAAGAAAAGGGAAATAACATTCAGGTTTCTCAAAGCCAACAAAATGGCAGGTCAATAACAGGATAATCAGTATTGCTCATGGCTAACACTTTTTTTTTTTAACCTTTTTTGAACTAGCTGTTGTTTTATCACTACTAATGCAAGAGGGGACTTTTTGGTAGGCAGACATGAACAAACAGAATAATAACACCTAGAACACCTGAAACTATTGAATTTTTACCTTCACTTCCTTCAGTCAGGCTCAAAAAGAATCACCATAAGGGTGGGGAAAAGGGACTCCTCATACATCACCTAAGCTCCAGAATACTCACCAACACTGTTCGGAAAGTTTAAAGCGTGACAACACCAATACAAGAGTTAAGACTGGAAACTATTGTGAACAGCACAACTTAACTCCAACACTTGGAAGAGAGTTTTCCTTATTAACTAGTGGTTAAATAAGTAGTAAATAAGGCCATTTACTGATTCCTGATTTTAATGTGTGAATCATAACGGATTATGAATAGTTGATTATGAGTATTTAGTAGAGGAATCTAATGCTTAGTTGGCACTCACAAGTTTTTAGCAGCTCCAAATCCACCAGGGAATATCACAGCATCATGGTCTACTGTAGTAAGCTTAGCCAGGTTTGCAATTTTACCACGAGCAATCCTTGCAGATTCCACTAAAACGTTCCTTGAAGAACCAGAAATAAAACAATGAGACTAATTAAGCATTTGCACTCAGAAGAACGTGAAGTTTTAGCAGAAGAAGAGGAGGGGAGGAAGCAAGAACAACTGTGGCACTCAATAACTGAAGCTATTGGTGTTTCTGAAATACTACTACCAGGAAATGAAGGCATTAAGAGACTGTATATAATCAAATCCAGAAAACTAATTTAATATTTTGTCTCAAATCAAAATACCAACTGACATAAAGCTACTAAAGTCAGTCAGCAAAGTGCTACAAGTGCAGTTACGGGCTGCTGCCTCTGGAGAATGCCTAAGAGACCGAGGCTCAGCAGTCATGGGAAACACATTAAACACAGACTTTACCTTGACTCAGCTTCAGCTGGTTGCCCTTTACTGTGGTCAACGACATGCATCTGAGGAACATCTGGAGCATACATCTGAACCTCAGCTCCCCCACAACTAAGATGTACCAGTATGCTACAAAAACAGAGATAAAACGTGCTGAAAACCTTACAAAAGAGGCTTTAACTGGCCCCTAAGTCTTGCTACAAATATTCCACCATCTGATTCTGGAAGAAGAGGAAAACCACACATCCTACCAAAGCATACTGGGCACAGAGCAGCAAAATCCCTGTATGTAACACCCAAGTGCAAAGCAGAACAGAAATTCAGTTTGGAGGCAGGGTCAGGTAAGCTAGAGATGAGTTTCTTTGTTCAGTGCTCTCATGCAGGCAACCAGGAACAACAGAAACTTCCTTTCTCATTGCAAGTCCCCAGGTGTTATGGAAGAGACCCATGATTAACATACCTGATTAACATACCTATGTGTACATTTAATCCAGGTCTAAGTGAAACACCTCTTAACAAAGAATACTAAGAGTTAATAATTCAATTCATCTATTAACAATTCTAGTGTTAGATTTAGCCCCAGAAACAGAAACTCAAAGTGATTATGAAACGAAGCCTCTACTTAATTCTCCTGAGATTGATACTGGAACTCTGAATTTCTGTTTCTGAAGGAAAGACAGTCTCTCTCAAATTCACTGCTCTGGCATCACATACATTGTCCTGCACCTTCGGACAATCACTGGGTACTGCAAGAACATGGCCTGAACTCATAATTATGCTGTGAGAAAACTGTGAAGCTTCATCATACATCCTTCAGGGCAATTCGGATCACCAGAGAGAGCAAAACTGAATTGAACAGACTGCTGTAAAGGAGACTATTTTGGAGCTTATAGTTTCATAAACCAACTTACGCTGAGGCCTCATGGATTTCTGTGCCATCATAGACACCACAACCAGACAGGACCTGCAGTAAGAAAATCAAGAGAGTATTTCAAGTATACAAAACTTTCTATAGGATCTTTCACAAGCCTTGGAAGATTTTAAACAACAAGATTCCCAAACAACAACAAATCTCCCTTCACACCCCCCAAAAAAAACCAACTTAGCTACAAGCTCTTTACTAAGCCAGTCAACATCATGCTATTAGCACTGGGGCAGCCATTTGACATATTGCAGAACTGGCATTTCCTATTTGTAGCTATTAATTACAGAGAAGTCTCAGACATAATTAATAACTAATTTATTTATCAGCTTGTGCATTTATCCCTCAGAATTAATAAACTGACGTGATATCCTTAGGTATGTTTTTACTGTGCACACAATGGGTTATTCTGAGCATCACAGGTCCACATCTGTGTGAAACACCTTCTCGTTCAGTCGCACTTCAAACAGAAGTGGGATAGAAATGCACTTCGAGGGGGCACTTAGGACAAATTAGTTTACCTGCTGCTGCACTTTGTCTGAGGATCCACATGACAGATCAATAGCTAAATGACTTCTAATCCAATTATGCTATATTAGCCACACTTCTCCTTACTACCACACTAATGAAAAATATTTTCAGTTTGTTTATATGCGGTGGAGAATAAAAAGCACCCAGCAATCAGTTATCCTTGTGTGGGTGGAGAGTCTCTTTCATGAAGTAGAAGGAGAAAAAACATTTTTAAAAAACACAGGGGAAAAAAAAGCAGTTATAAGAACAAAACAAAACAAAATCCAAAGGATTATCTAGTTCCTGAAAGTGTGTGTGTGTGTATATATGTATATGTGTATATATATATACATATATGAACTCCTGTGGGGGTTTTTTTCTTTGGTTGTTTGTTATGAAAGAAAAAAATCCAGTCAAAGAGAGTCCATTTATTAACTTTACTCTCTTCCCTCCTGGTTTTATCTGTTTTTAGAAACTTTAAAGTTTATGAACAGAAACTCACAACTGGAAGTATCTTAGTTAGAAAGGGGCTCAAAGGGACTTCCAGATCACAACACGCAGTTCTCTGCTCTCACAGGCACAACATCCTACCATCACTTCACCAAATGAGTAAGATTCATGAATGTTCTTCTGTCTGTGTTAACCCTGTAATAAACAACCAAGCCTTGTAATCAAGGTAGGTTTAGCTTTATTTGTGAGGACAAAGTCAATAAAGCAAAAGCACAGCGCTGGGTGCTTGACCCAAGTCAGAGGCACACCGGGAAAGAGGCACATGTTATCCCTTTATATACATTTAGGATTGCATTAGTCACATACATATTCATTTTAAGGTTAGTTTTTGTTTTAAAAAAAAGGGGCAGGGTTATCCTAATTACTTTGGGGGACTTTTTAAGATAAAATCTTATCTTTTCGTGCACATGCACTACTGCCCGGTGGTCGTGGGAAAGGTCCTTGGCAGGAAGGCCCACAGTCTTCTTCAGAGGACCTCTTCACCCCTGATGAAGGGGTTATCTGACCTCCAGACCACCAGCTTGGTTCTCTCCAGATGGTGGGTACAGTGGTGTTCATATCTCACAGTTCCTCACCTTCCCCCCTTTGTTCCCCCAGGATTGGTTATTTCAGGCCTCTTCATCAAATTCCCCATATATCAGCAAAAAAAGAATTATTATGGCGAAAGCCAACAACACTCTCCCCCACTTCTCACAACCCTAACTACAGCTTTGCTGCTCAGATATTTTAGAGCTGCCTTCTACTTTCCATCTTATTTTATCTTTCATTTAATTTAGACTGAAAAAAACACAGAAGCAACTGCACTAAAGTTATCCTCTGTAAGCAATACTTTTTAAATGTTTTTGGAACTCATTGAAACCGAAGTACTAAAACACCATCTTCTTCTGTTATTTCAGTACCTGCTTGGTGACAAATCTGTCTTCTACCACAGTCAGAAATTTTTGCCTCTAAGGTCAACAGTAACATTCATTTTTTTCCACTCTCTATTTTAAAATTGCTAAAAAGACAGCATTCCTGGTAAGTTACCTTTCAGATATTTGGACCGGCTTTCTGCCCACTCCTGAGCCAACTCTGCCCCAAAGAGATTTCTTCATGTAGGTAATGCCTTCTTATTACTTTACATTTTATACTGTCAAGACTATACACAACTTGAGCTTCAAAGACTGTCCGCTGAGCTTTAAAACTGTACCCATCTGAGGTGCTACCTACAGCCTTAATTTCCCTTCGGCTTCTCCACCTTCTCCTTTACTTTTGTATCTTTAACACGCTCTACCTCCTTCCTGCAGGAGGGCACAGCCCAGTTTAAGTATTTTCCCGTTCGCTGCCAGTACCTCCCCCAATTACACTACAAATTATTTCAAGTTCAGCTCGTTATAACTCGACTCCAGGCCAACAACAACGACACAGACGCCAATTTTCACGTGTTTCCCACTCCCGGTCTGGCTTCCTCCATGGTACTCAATTCTCAACAGCTTTCTCGTCTCAGTTTCAGCTTCTCCCGAGGCTTTCTTTCCAGCTGCCGCGGCCACCAGCCG